CGACAGCACGCAGGAACTCAACACTCGCCCGGGGGTCCTTAAAAAGTGCTGAAAGTGGGTTACTGAAATGTCCCAGCAGACGGGTAAGACATCCTTCAAAGGCACAATATGCCGATCCGAGAAGCAACACACGTGGCCCATGTCCGACAACTGAATATTTCCTCGACACCTCGCAGTAGAAGAGATCAGATAAAGTAAGAGTAAAGTTACCAGTGTGTAGTGTGGACGGTTCATTTTGCAAAGCCTCAACGCGGGTGAGTTGTATTTCCTCTTCCATTTTACTCAAACAATTTTGAGCGACGTTAGCATGTCGTACTCTAAGGTCTTGCTTCATTGGCTTGAGGATTGCTCCATGTCTTTCCTTTACAAACTGATTGTCAATATTAGAATCATATAACTTAGAGTGTCGAAACGTTTTCTGGAATAACGTCCACAATGCCATCAGTCTCTATTCTCTTCTTAGTGATTCTTATTTTCTTATGTTAGCCGTTCAGGGTTCCTATTTTCTTTCATTACTGCCCATTTCTGCCACGTTGCAGTGAGTCTCATATCCTCAGAGTATGCTAGGATTGGACTGTACCTCAACCCTTCCTCTTGCATCATTAGATGTGCAGTCCATTGTATATCATGGTGTTGCTTTTATTGTTTATTTGACAGTCCATTGTATATCATGGTGTTGCTTTTATTGTTTATTTGACAGTCCATTGTATAGTCGGATGTTGTATTTATTGTTTATTTGACAGTCCATTGTATATCATGGTGTTACTTTTATTGTTTATTTGACAGTCCATTGTATATCATTGTGCTGTATCTATTGTTTATTTGACAGGTTTAATGCAACCTCACGCGACCCCTGTCTACTCAGCTACAAAGCATGGAGTGAGGGCTTATATGACCAGTGTGTGTGTGAGTAAGACAAAATTCTCATATATATACACACACACGTGCAGACATACCCACACTCAAACACACACACACATACACACACACACACACACACACATACACACACATGCACATGCACAAAGACACACACACACTAATACACACACTTACACACGCATACACACAGACACACATTCATACAAACACTTACTCACAAACACATGCACACACATATTCACCCACAGACACACACACATGTACACATACATACACACACACACCCATACATACACTTACACACACAGACACACACACACACTCACACAGACACATACACACGCACTTACACACAAGACACGCACACGCGCGCACACACACACACACACACACATACACACAGACACACATACACTCACATATATAATATATAATAATATGTATATGTGTGCATATTT